ATTTTCTCCTTACCCTTTCCCCCCCCCCCCACATAAAATTCAAGTTTTAAACCTTCAGGACTCTGGCATTGGTCATATTCTTTCTTTTGAAATGTTTTCTCTAAAATTTTGGGGAAAAATAAAAACCTATAAAATGGCTTTGTTTTCTGATGTAGAATCAATTGATGTGCTCGCCTCTGGAAATCACACAGCTAATAAGCTGAAGACCTAGGTTAGAGCTTTATTTTTTATATCCCAAAGTCATCATTTTTTGCTTCCACCTACAAAGCAGAGGGATTTGGCTGCCTTAGGCAGCTCCTTATTCCGTTCTGTTGCCCAAGAAGTATGTTTGGTTTTAAAAGGAAGTCTGGGACCCTAAGGGTGGTATGTTTGTTAGTAGTGTTTGGAAGTATTTTTTCATTAAAAAGGCAATCTCTGCAGTTAGTTAAGTGCGAGGCAGTGGTGGCATAAAGATTACAATATTTAGTCAGTGTTTTTACTTGTTTAGATCGGCCCATTCCATTCAATTATGATTCATTGTAATGGTCTGAAAGAAACCCTTGCTGAGGAATGTTTTTTTCTTTAATATCATCTTACTAAAGAAATATTGTCAGTTTCCAGGTCTAATGTTAACATTCTCCCCCAATCATGTATCACTTGTCTACAGGTTCCTGGTACTTTTGGGTAGAACTGTAAATTTTGGTTACTGAGAAAAGATAAGACCTGAATAAAGCTAAATAGAAGGAACATAGACTTTTTAAGCAGCTATGCCACTGGGCTAAGGGCTTCATATCTAGTTTGCTTCTCCTAATCCCCCTCTAAGTCTCACGATTCTAAAGCTTGTTTCCTTGCCTGGCAGTGAATAGAGAAAAAATCTCTTGCCTACTGACACAGCAAGTAAGCGGTAAGATCAGTTCGAGCCACAAACTTTCATCTCCATTCCCTTTGCCTTTCTTGCTGCAGGTGGAACATTTGCATTCCTGTCCCTGCAATGAATGTGGTAAAAAACACAATGAAAACAGTATTTCTGGGTCAGAATTTTGAAACAAGCTGCTTAAATTTGCTCTTCTATCTAAAAAGGATGCAGTCAGCCAACTAAGACTGAGTTTGCTGGGCATGGCTCATGAACAAAAACGTATGTGATAATCGATCCATGCATGTGATGTAATTGGCCAGCCACTTTTCTTTCATTTCATGAATAATATCTAGCATAGAGCACAGTCATTTGCTAGCTACAGAAATATTTCAGTTTGAGCTTTGGGAGAAGTGGATGAGGAGGAGATAGTTCCATAAGCAGCTTATATATAAAGCAAAATTGTAGTTAAAGAATCTTTTCTGTGGTGATTATAAGCAGCTCATAGCCACTTTGCCACTAAAACAAGTTGGGTGGCTTTGCCCTAGAGTTAAAATATCTTTTAGGCTGTACAGCCAAACAAATGGAATTAAAATGATGAGATTCAGTATCTTCTAGAAAGAATTGTCAGACACTCAGAGCCTATGTGTTAGCCCCTCTGTTCATAAAATGCAGTATTTTTAACAGCTTATGATGTATCAGTAACTTATGTAAGCACTTTAACTTAAATTAGCACATTTAATTGTCACAATGTTACTGTCTGTATTTTACAGGTGAGAAATCACACAATTTGTCCCACATCACTTACCTAGTAAATGATGGGACTGGGATTTTAAATCCTGCAATCTGATTTCAGGATTTGTACCTTTAAACACTATTTTAATATTTAACTTCCTTTCTACTTTTATTGACCATCAGATGTTTCCAGTATTTACAACTGAAATGTTTTTGGGCCAGCCAGTGGCATAGTGATTAAGGTGACTGAGTTCTACATGGCCAACTGCAATTTGAATCCTGGACCCACAGATTGAGAAACGTGTCAGGTGCACGTGCGTGCACGCCCAAGATCCTGAGAGGAGAATAGAGGAGAAGGGATTGCAACATGGCCATCTCTCTTTCTCTCTCTCCTACTCTACTCCCAG